TGAATAACGAGATCTCAATATTCTATGGATATGTTAAGAAAAACGTGTTATTATTAAAATCTCTACTGTATCTATACAATATAAGGAGACTGTAATGAATCAGATTTTTAAAGTGTTTCATAGCATAGCGGTAAGAGGGCTTCCCGTCATCAAGAGGTGGGTGAGTCAATTTAAATTAGGGCTTTATGCTTAGTTTATCATTGAGAAAGTCTATAAACTGAGTCAAGTAATATCAAAATAGATTTATTAAGAGTCAATCCTTTCATTTGTAGGAGAAAAAGCTTCTGCAGATGATATAGATAGTTCCGAAGAGCATTTTTCTTAGAATTTTGAAGGTGTCATAGATATCTCAAATTTAAATTCTAAATTAAACTTAATAAATTTAGGTTAGTTAATTATTGGTGTTGTTTTTGTAGTTTAGAAAGCTAAATTAGGAAGATGCCTTCAGCATTTACTTTCTGTCTAACTTGATCAGGGTATGGAAGATTAACAGTAATAAAATGTGGAGAGAATAAGTGATAACGTTGGTATTTACATCAGCATCTTCCTATATCTAACTTGATAAATATTAGCTGTACTAATGTGTAGATAGAATAAGTGACAACATTCTAACTGGATAATTATTAACTGTAAATTGCGAATAGAAATGTAATCTAGTCTAGTTTAAGTAAAAGATTTTAATAGTTGTATGGTCTTACGACAGCGAAAGGACACTGATAAAAAAGAAACTCTATTAATGTCTATATTGAAGCTGATTGTAGCACGAATAAACACCGGTATTTTTCTAACTGGAAATACATAAATTTTTGTTTACTTATTTTCCGAGAGCTGAACTGGACTAAGTAAAGATACATTTGGGCGTATTCGTAAAGTTAAATTTAAGGTTTCAATAACAACATAATATAATTAATACCTGAGGCTTTCAAAATTGCCTTGTAAAAACAAATTCTAAAGGGATAAGTAAACTTTCTAAATAATACTTCCATTGTATTTGTTTTCCACTAAGTGCTCCGGTAAAGGATAAAAGTTCAATTAGCATTCAGAATAATCTAACTGAAACGTTTCTACTCTCTAAATTAGATTGAAAAGTCTTCATTTAACATCGTTTTTCGTTTTTTATCACGATTTCGATCTTAACTTTCTACCGTAGACTCTTAAAGGAGCTCCAAGTTTATTTTAAGCTAAGATTGTGGTATTATCATGGATTCATAATACCTATGGACTTCTTTGCCCAAGCTAGGATTATAAAATTCTATCTAAAGTAGCCTCTTTTGATAAGGATAACCATAGTTATATTAATTGCTCTTTAATAAGAAATGAGACGAATCTGTACTATCTTGATCATATAGGTTACTTCTCCTTCACTTCATTGTCAATCCTTTTTCGTTCACTTTCAACTAATTTAATGTTGTATTTGGATATAATGTTATCCTATTCTCTATGGTAATTTTCATTCTTCCATAGGAGATAGGATTAACTGGCACCATCTTGATTCGACGGATTGATTCTGATCTATTATAATGATTATTCTTCTTTCTTCAAATCATAATTCTTTCTTCGCCGACTTTGAGCTAATGCAACATGTAACTTGATTTCAAGTTATCTTCTTTGCATCAGTGATTTGGGTTCTTCTATCTACAAAATCCATTTTTAAGTGAGGAAAAGTTGAATATGTTTTCTACGTCAGTGATTCCATTGTCAATTAGCATTGAAATGATTCATTTCCAATAACAAAACTATAAAACTATCCCGTAGTTTGTTATGACAGTACATATATTTCTTGTTGATTGTACTATACAGACAAGGTGTAATAGTAAAATGCAAAAAATTTCTTTTGATTTCCTCTTTCTTTGATTAGAGTATATACTTTCCCTAGTAGGGCTCTTGCACTATGTATTTATAATAGATCAATAGTCTTATTGACTCTAATTTTTATGCCAACACCTGCATCATCACTGAATTCAATCTTGACCCCATGCAGCTTCTATGTCACGAGTTTGATTGATAGACTTATGGACTAGCATATCTAAGCTATATTACATTAACTATATTATTTATTCCTAATATCGACTACTTTATCTCTTTTATCAACGAATCCATGCTGTCGATTTACTATTCAAATGGTAAGGTAAATAAAAATTGTTATTCGTCTTTCTGAGTTACAGATTACAATTTGTCAATGTTGAAGTTTGTCAACAATTTCAAATCGCAAATTCTAAAGTATTTCTTCCGTATACCATTTTGAGTCGCTTTAGGCAGCGTCGTTTTAGACAATTTTACCAATAGCTTATTTTGCCTTAACTAGCTTCAGTGTAGTATTATACTTATTGCTATAGCTAATTTTTCTCTTCATCAGCTTTATTCTTTTTACGTTGTTTATAAAGATCCTGTATTGATAATGTAAACGAAAAAATATTTAGTGATATTGCATTGACTGAATCTTTATAACTTTTGTTTTATATCGTACTGTTTCTTCTATAACATTCATTGCCGGTTATGGTGGAGTTTCTCTCCCCAAGTATCTTTTTTTGTAACAAATCTATTTGAGAGATGTAACAGGTAAAAACATTTATCGTAATTTTCTGTATCAGCTAAGCTACAGGAATTGATAGTGTTGACTTTTCGAAAGGGACTAATAGTAAGAAATAAGTTAAACTGATCAAATCGTCCATGGGTACAACCAATAAATTTTGCTATTTATTTGCAAGGAAAGACTTTAAGTCAATCTATATTAACAATGCATAACTTTAAAATATCCCAATCTTAATTCAGTGAAGTAGAGAAAAAAAGAAGAGTAAAGGACCCAAAGTTCTATTTTATATCGTTTTTCTACAAGTATGATCGGAATACAATTCTAAGCATATTATACGCGATAAAACATATTCCGTCTAATTGATTGGAAAAAAGAAGCATAACGATGCAATATGAAAATTATAATTTCTTTCTGTTCTTTCTTTGAAAGCTTTTAACCGAATTGCATTTTATAAAGTCTCCGTATAATTAGGAAGAGGAAACGGACTTGACGATACGAGATGAAAAGTTAGATTTCTTTTTTTTTCTACCATTACCATTAGCTTTAAAATAGAAGATTTCTACTGAGTTACTTTAAGTTTAAGTCATTGAAGCTATAGCACGATAAGGTTCTAACTCGACTGAAAACTACCGTCAAAATATAAAACATTCTAATTGCTACTGAATAGATAAAAGCAGAAAGACGCTTCTCGCCGTATTTTCATTTATGTCGAAAGAAGCCCCTTGCACTTTGATAATAATTGAAGCATATTCCATTCACTCATAGAACAGTAATAAAGTTAAAAAAGCTTAATAACAGTTTCGCTGTTAAAAGTTTAGCTATCTCTTTTATCGTTTAGTATCTACTCATCATGTTGTAGAAATAAAATTTATGCGTTTATTTTAATTTTCCGACTCTAATTCAGATTTGAACCTCTTGTTCATATTTGATAAACTCACTTTGCATACTTATAGCACTATAACTACGGTACGGATAGCTTTTGTAAACGGTTTTATCTTGAAAGATCAATTTAAATTATGGATAAGCTAAAAACAGTAGTTAGAACTTCTTTTGGAGCTATTTTGTGAATAACTGTCATTAAATTCTTGCAATGGTTTCCATTCTTCTAAGCTCTACTAGGATCTCCTGTCGATATTAATCAGTCTTTTCTTTCATAATCAGTAATATTTAATTTGTTATTCTTATCATTGGCTAATTTAGATGTAATATATCAAAAATTGTTGTAGATATGTTATTTATACAGATATATTCCAGAATAATTGTATCCGCAGATTATTCAAGATTAATAATAGAAATTCTTGATAATAGTACCATCCGCTTTTTACGAAGGGATTTTATGCCATTACGGGAATAATAATCTTATAATGACTCCATTTATATTCGATTTTTTAGTATAGATCAAGATTGCACATGATCACATACCTCCATCTTAACGAAAAATTGAGGTTCATTTCATTACAAGTGTTTTGCGCTTTCTCTTTTAAGATGGATCATAAGATATCTATTCCGTCTATTAGTTCTGGAAAAAAATGAATTCAATTAGACTAGTAATTATTATACTTTATGAGTTGTTTTTATTAAATTTGAAATTAAAATTTGATTAAATTTTGCAAAGAGTGAAATATGCAATAAAAAACTGTGGGTATAGCCATGCCAACATTTCATTACAGTTAAGAAAGAGTATATACACTGTTACTTTAGAAATCATCGCCACTTCATAGATATATTCAATACCTGGTAAACTGGACTTTTCCACTGATTGATGTCGCTAAACTTGTTTTATATAAAGCCTGATATATTTAATCATTGCGTATTTCAAAAATCTTAACATTTTCCTTAATTCCAGTATTTAATGCAACTATTCTGTATTTTGATCGATCACGGGTATATTAACTTTAAAATCATCAAAATTATTGGGTACAGCTCATTCATACAATGCTATGTATATTAAGTAAGATACGACTACTCCTAGGCTATAATTGGTATCAGAGCCGTATCAAAGTGTAATTAATTTTCATTTTCCATCAAATTAATCAACGGTGCAAGAAACTAAATTTGCATTATTTTCACTTTAGTTTAGAAAGACAAGAAGTTACTTTGTTCAATTCTTAATTAGCTGACTTGTCTCACATAGTTCTAACTTATATGTTGTGTTGACAATTTGAGTATACAAAGGATAGTTGTGGAGTCAATTTTTTCTCATCAGCAAACAAAACTGATTTGATGTGTTTAGATTGTAAAATTAGGGCTAACAACGAATAAAAGCAACTAAATTAGTCAATAACCATCATTTCTTTTATGTTCCTATCCTTTAGTAAAAGTGTTGGAACATTGAATTTTAAAAATAATACAAGCAATTGCTTACAGCAAGAAACCCATGGTCGATAAAGCTTCTAAGATCATTTTCAGCTCATAAATAAATAAAAGTGTATGTGTTCTGAGAATCAAGATTAATACCTAAAAAGTGATGAATTCAAAATCCATTCCTGCCATTGATTCTAATCATGCCTTTGCTGTATGTAATAAAAATAACAAGCAAGATCTTCAGCTACGGAATAGACTAAGCGATTACGACAAAGAAATGTCCAAAAAATTACGTGATATACTTTCTGATCAAAAATCTCTCATTGCGCAATTGAATCGCATTAATGCTAAGAATAATGATGAAGATACAGAGAAACAACGTCAGTCTACTGATAATGATGGAAAGTCTCTTTTATCATCACCATCAACGGCACCAACTTTGGACAATAAAGTTCAGCAGCAGCAACAGAAACAACAGCAACGATTGCAAACCATGAAGTCTTCTCCTGTTCAGCAACGAAGAAAGAAAGGATTTCTTATTAAACAAGATTCAGAGAGTTCAATATTGGTAAAACATCGCTTCTCTACCGATGAAGAGTCGCCTACAATGATACGTCAAACTACAATTATTTCACATCGACACCCAAAGCTTAAAGCAGATGAGCAATTACGAAATCGATCATCGTCGTTCGATACCTTTAGAGAATACGATAAAACATCTCGATTACCCCATTTAGCTCGCATTACTTCATCGCTACATCATCAGTCATCTTTGCGGTCTTCATCATCAACTTCTTCGTCGACATCGTCTCTTCATTCAATCCATGAGCATCGGCCACGTTCATTATCGGACCAAAATTCTCCGTTGGAGAATCTAAATAATAAAACAATTTCTTTATCATCGCCTTCTTCATCAACATCTTCAGCTCATTTAACTAACGAACGTCGAGCATATTCTTTAAATGAACAGCATGCTTCAGCAGAAATGGAGAACAAATTACAGGATAAGTCAAAAGATGACATTGAGATTAATTATAAAGATCAGGATAATGGCCTATCCCATAGACGAACAATATCAGCTATAGTCGATCAAACATTCAATAATATCAATACACCAGCTAAAAATTCTCCGTTATTAAATAGGAGAAATGAAAACTTACTCAAAGCAGCTCATCATTGGAGACTTCGTTCATTGCAACAAAGAAATAAAGCAGTTTCTTTTAAAGGTTCTAATGGAAATGATCCCAAAACTAATCTAGTTTCCAGCTCTAATGGTATAAAAGGTGTCATGGAGCAACCACCAAGATATTTACGATGTAACTTAGAAATCGAAGAAGTCGATGTCTTTGATGATATTTAATATGATGGCAAAGTACTATATTAAATATACAGGATATAAAACCAGTTGTATATCGAAAGTATTTAACTGTATAATTTTTTGATAGCTCTTATGCCTGCATCTTTATAGTTATAAAAGAACCGAAATACTGCATTTACAAAACCAAAGCAGTATTGAGACCCATTTTTACCCGTTAAGACTACATATAATAAACCTATTTCTTAGCAGTAAGTTCTGTATGCCAAGTATATATACGGATATAAATATCATTACTTTACAATATACGAATATATCCGATCAATTTTTTGGCTCAAATTTAGCTGATTTATGTTGACTATCCTACTTTCTACGTTGACTTTACCCATGTTCTTAATCTTTCTCCTGATACGAATAGTATCGATTTAAAGTTTTCATACTATGCACTGCATCACACATGAAGCTCAATTTGCTACATTAAGATTTAAGCATTATTTATCACATTTCAAATTCTCTATTTATGAAATCAATCAGTTTATACAGGTAAAATAAAACTTTTCATCTTTAATGACTACAATGTTGCAATTTAATAGCAAGGAAATTTTTGCATCAAATTGTGAGGCGAGAAAAAAATGATGATAACAATCTTTTCCTTTGATCCCTTCTTAAATTTATTAGCATTTCCTTCTCAAGAATATGAATATTAGTAAGCTATTATTCGAGATACTATGAAGGAGATTATTATCAATTAGTGACGTACGTATATGGCAACAGAATATAAATTCTTATTAGTGAATTATAAAAATTAAGCTAAATTAGTATTCACGACCTTAGTAACATCAATTTGCCGATCAATGAGATAGTAGGAGATATTCAATATATACTATAATAAAATATGAAAATGTAACTATAGTTAACGCTAGTGTTTAATAACCGTAGATTCTATTGGCTCTGGTATTGAATGAAAGAATTAAAATCAATAATTAAGCTAAAACTTTTAAATAATTAAGGTAACCGAACCGTGGTAAAAAAAGTATGCTAGCAAAGTTACCTTTGGCTTTCTATTTCTCGTGATGTAGGCAATTTCAATAGAGTATGGTATGTAGGAATGAAAGAGGTCGAAGTAGCCCACAGATACTATTCTGATGGACACAATTTGCGTGTAGACAAACTAATAAGACTGCTGAGCAATCTTATTAAATGCTATAATCGTTCAGTTACGATGAAAATATTCCTAAAAATAGATTCGTTTTCTGCCGATGATTAGTAGCCATGCTTGCAGTTTGTTTTAATACCAGATTGCAAAAGCAAGCTCTCCATGACAAGCCTTAGTTAGCCTTTACTGTTTATTTCAAATCTATTCTATCATATATCTAGATCAATCGTAAAAATGTACCCTATTACGTGGCTTGGGTAGTCAATTCACACGCAATTTGCTAAATATACGTGTATGGTAGTTCTGCTTCACCAACCCTATTTTATAATACTGTAGTTACCGCAGCTAAGTTTAAAAATGATAAAATATATACTGCAGTACCACCTAATACAGTATCGAGAGCAATCTAATCGCAAATACAAATACAGTAGCATTAACTATTGATTTTGTTCTATTTGATACAGGCAAGTGTGTAACCCACATAAAATAGGACTCCGGTTGTATCATCGGTGTTATACTGTACGTAGTTCATAAACGGTTAACAAAGAATTAAGGATGGTTACATCGCATTTTACTTTATCTGTAGTTCGTAAATATTATTTTGTAATTTAGTTAGGGTTATCACATAAAAATTTGATGAAGAAACTATCGTGTCTATAAGACAGATTGACATTTGCAATGATTGCGATCATTGAAATAGCAAGCAAAATCGCAAGATAAGAGTATTCTATTGGCACATTTAGAGCTATAGCATGATGACGACAAGAATATGACTACTACACAATCTGTAGCAATATATGACGCGTACTAAAAGTATTGACTTAATTCCATGGCGTAGTATATGTAACATCTCAAAATAGGCAAAATGCGTTAATAACATATTTGATTATCTATCATAACATTAATATCGAAAGGAAAGACAGCAAGTAAATGTATAAAGTAATATCAGCCATATGCTTACACTGCAGTAAGTCAACTAGTTATCCTATTTGATTTGCAACAATCCTTTCGAAAAACTTGCTAGCAAATTCTTTCATATCAATCACATTATAATAACAGGAGATGATAATTTTGTTACGTGCAGAATAGCTATTCTCTTACAAAGATAAATACTTGTAAAGTGAACTTAATAAAAGTCTGGTAAAAACCGGAGTCATATTAAATTTTGCAAAGACATCAAACAATCTAAATATGATGGTCTTAGAACAACATGGAAATTATGAGTGCAAGTAAAAGTACAGTGTAGAAAAGTTGAATAGTTGAATCCGTCACGATAAGTGACTCAATTTCATATTACAAATACATTCTATTTGACACAGATTCTAACAATCGAGAAAATTGGCAGCCATGAGTAGTTCTAGTGCTATCTCAGGTTGGATAACAAATTCCGGAATTTCATTTCCGCTGTTGGTATACTTGACCTTATAAGTAAAGTAGGTGCATACTTTACTTAAGACATGAGATCTACAGAAAATGAGTTGAAAGTGACAATTAGAAAGGAAGTAAATGAGATAGTAAAGCATTGCCGACTAAGATTGCAACATGTATCCTTTTTACTTGTTGACTGTGATAGAATTTAAATTGAACAGAGAGTTTCTAACGTTGTAAACTTGAGTAAAATAGCAACATGCTGTACATACTGGAAGTCGGTAACTAGTTTTACTTATCCGTTGTCAATAACTGTATTTATAAGACTACGCCAATGATAATTCTACAATCTGATCCCGAATTAATGGTATCATTTTGACAAGATGATTGAACATGGGTGCTGTCAACAACGATTTAAATTTCACTTTCATAGACAAGACATGCACAACACTTACGGTATATCACGAAATCGAATTTCATTTGTTTCATTTTCACTAAATTGGCCTAAAAACAAATTCAAATCGGATTCAATTAACTTTCATCATGACTTGGCAACATGACGACGAAAGTCAAGGAAGAATTAGAGCAACTACATTTCTCAATATTGAATGGTAAAGTGGATGAGACGACGAATATAATCAACAATAACAACAAGCAAATAAAATAAATCAAGAGGTTATAGCCTGATTGACAGCGTACAAAGTGCAAGTCTAAAGCTAAGCAAGATGTCATTGAACCGATTGTTGTTCTATTACCTGGGCCGCTAAGCATCGCTTTAATTGTTCCCGATGTTAAGGCAAACTCTCGCTTAATAATAAATTCGTGGCCATCATTCGCTATTAACTTAACGTACATAGCTTCAGGTCCTTCACAACCACCAATTTGTAGACTGGATTCCGAACGTTTATCAATTTCGGCCATGTTGAAATCTTTAGAACTGGTTGTTTAGCAGCTATGTCGTTGCTATCGTCGTCTGCTGAAGAGAGATTGCGCTTGCGTCAATTTGGTCTAGTACCAGAGCGGTACGTCCCTAGTACCGCCCTACTGTACCAACTGTACGCTACAGTGTACAGTACTATCGTTCATGTACTGTACACTATACAGTACTGTAGTCAACAGGATGGCAATAGGCGTTTGGATGATACCAGAGTGCTTTTCTTTCTTTTATCTGGTTGCTACTAACAGGGACTTATACTGTACAGTACATTAATACAGTAGAACACATAGTAAATACTAGAGATGTAGTAGTCCTATCAGAGTGATCTTCCTTTACCTTGTTGCTACTAACAGGGACTTGTACTATTCATTAATACAGTGTAACACACAGTAAATACTAGAGATGTACAGTACAGTACAAGTCCTTTTATTAGGGTCTGCAGATTGTACTGTAGATTACATCATACTGTACTGTATGACCGACTGCATGGTTACTGTACTGTACGTTCAGTACACTACAGTACTGTACAGTACTGTACAAAGAGCTGTGTATAAAATCTGCTACTGTACTGTACACTGTACACTGTGCAGTTGCGTCAGACGAATATTATTTGTAGTGGCCTACTGGACTGTAGTTAATGCATGGTTAGGTCAAGCTACAAGTGTTACGTTCATGGTTAGGTCAAACTAAAAGTGTTACGTTCATGGTTAGGTCAAACTACAAGTGTTACGTTCATGGTTAGGTCAAACTTCAAGTGTTACGTACATGGTTAGGTCAAACTTCAAGTGTTACGTACATGGTTAGGTCAAACTTAAAGTGTTACGTACTGTTTCATAAGCTTGAATGTACAGTACTGTACAGTGTGCACTCTTCTACACCCATGAGGTTGAGTAACCTAGAGACTCCCCTATCCAAAAGCAAAGTGCAGTAAAGCGGGTGGTTTGCCTTTTATGAAATTAATTAAATAAATATAAAAGGATTGCTCAATTTATAAGAGAATGTTTGGACCAGTAGATGATGGAGTTTTTGGTAATTCGCAATAATGTACAATGTCTGTTATTTTGAAGATACTTAATTTGATCGAAAACTGTCGAGAATATCCAGCTAAATCAGATGACGATAACAACAACAGCGTTTGCAAGTTTGCAGACGATTGTACTATGTATGATATAGATGATCTAGAAATAGTGCAGTACTGTATAATACTGAAATTCGGATTGCATACTTGTTTAATAAAGCAGTATTACGGTAAACAGGTAAACACATTCGTTGCCGATACTTCAATCTTTCGTCAAGGGTCTTGAGTTGCAATGCTGTTCCACTGCACACCGTACAGCAATATCTCTCAAAATGAGCACATAAGTTCACACAGCGTTAGAACATACGTATTAGAATTGAGGACCACAATGTATTATCCTGTTGTCAACAGAATATATGACCATATGAACTTGGTTATAATAAATTTATTTATAGAATATAATATTCGTATGGTTTGTTAGATGGAATGGCAATTGTCTCTTGTTACTGAGTAGTTGTTACACCAAGTCCCATATCATCCAATCACTGGATAGATTGAATTAATTTTGCATTACTTCTTAGCAACGTAGGCTCAATTTGTGTCAAAATTCGTATGTCAATAGAATTTATATCAAATGCATATTTTTAAAGCATTGGTAATATAGAGTGGCTATGATCAATCATGATCATCATTTTGTGATATTAAGAAAGCGAACAGAATGAAAATCAACTACAACATTGAGATTGAAGATCGATTATCACAGCAATCTTCTTGTCGGTACAGAATACAGTACAGAAAATAATCAATTGAGCTTGATCTTGACGTGAACAATTTTAATGACATACAGGCAATAAAAAAATAGTGCAGTAATCTAAAATTTATACAATGCAAGCCATAAAAGTAGATACCCTTGTTTTGATATTAAAAAAATTCGTAGCTGTGCCATAATATGACATTATTAATGATGATATAAAAAAAATTGATCTCACTTGATGTAGAATCAATAGAGGATATTATTCTCATTCAACTGATGATTAATTTACGCGTATGAACATCGATGAGCGTCACTTTCAATATTATTATACTTCATTAATGACACTAAGCAACTGCCTAGCATTGATCGCTAACACGTGAGCAGATTGTAGCATCAATTTAATATACTCATCGTACAAATTGGTCGAAACAGATTTTTGTGCTAGCTTAAAGTTCGTGACAAGGCCTATAGCATCCGTCGAGACAATTTCACTACTCATTTCAACCTGTATCAGATATTAAAGTTAATCGTACGAAATTGATACTTCTTGCAAACATACAGTATAATAGCAACAATATACTTGCCTCTTTTCGAGCTGCTGGTGGCAAATGTAACTTTACTTCTTCCACTTTGTCCAATAAATTTTTTGTGGCACTACCTACCGCCTGCAAAGTGTATAGCATTAAATATACCCTTGATGAGTTATCGCTTAAGTTCTGCATGCAACGATGAATAGCAAGTTAATTTATTAAGATACAACCTTAATAAGTAATCCACACTCTTCCATAGTTGCTAGCTTTGACTGCTTATTTAATTTAACAACGCTTTGTACTAGCTCCGTAGTTATAGCAATACATGCATCTCTGATATTATCTGGAGCCGACGGAGTAGCGATGGAACTTTGTTGATTTACCTGCAAAAGAGGTATTAGTACTGTAATTTAAATACTCGGTAGAATACTCAATTAGCAAGTGTGGCTAAGCAAGCTGTGATCTAGTTACTAAGATGTATGGAGAAGCAATAAATCTTGTATAAAGTGGTTTACTAACGCTTATTTCAGAGCTCGTTTCGCTCCTCTCTTGCTTTTCAGTATTATCTTGCTGCTATAATTTAAGCGAATAATAAAACATGCGAGTGTAAGGATTTAAAAAATATGCATCATTCTTAAAATACCCATATAATTACTGTTTCTACATCTTATCCGTACAATTGACTCTTCAGATTTGGGCTCGGATAATTTTGATTGTAACCATTTTACATCCTCGTAATTTGAGGCCGCTGCTTGTACATTTACAGTCTGAAGTAAAGTAATAGGATCCAGTATTACTTACATAAATCTAAATCCGACTGTAATCAATGTAAACGATTAATCCATACCGATGAAATTTTTCGGCTCATTCTTGATTTTACCGAGTCTGCATTTTTGGGTGGACTAGACGAGGTTTCAGCAGCATTTCCTAAGTTTAACTCCTTAAGTTCTGGACGATTTGGCTGGAATAAAATACATTTTTCATACTCAACCAATTCATGTATCCTTATTTAATTTAAATACATTATCAGTAAATAACTGAAAAATCGTATGCAGCTAAATCACCTTCGGCGGCGGATTAATTGTTGATTTTGCTTATTTATAGATGAAAGATTTCGTTAGGTTTTAATTTTGAGAAATTCTTGCGTGGTAATTGCGATATTACATTTAAAGTAAAAACTGGATAAAACCCGTCTCCGGATATGCTGTAGTACGAATCATAGCTTCCGATAATCGGTATTTCTTAGAACTCATCGAAATATTCATGTTCTAAATTACCAACCTACCTGATATTTTACGAGTTCCATAGTGCAATCTAATGGAGGAATAGTGATTTTAAATCGGTATGGTGTACTTTCACACAGATTATAACAATTTAGCAGACTGTAGCATACTTTAGCTTTGTTAATACTTCACTGAAGGTAGGCCTTTGGGCAGGGTCATACGACCAACACTCTAGCATGATCTGATACATAGATGGTGGACAGTCCGCGGGTTTCGGTAGACGTTCACCATTTTCAATTATCCTAGCTACATCACTATTTTTAACGGATTGAAAAGGTTTCAATCCCCGAGACATGATCTCCCAAACACATATGCCTACACATTTATAATCATTTCATTGAATCATATAGGCTATATAAGATGGTGATATATTAAAGTGATATTTCCTAAGATAAGTTGAAGTATTGTTCTCGTTATGTAATCTTCAGGGATATTAGATCAGAAGTTGTAAACGGAATCTTGATGTACAATATTTATCAGTATTACATGACTCACCATACATCCATACATCACTAGCAGAGGAAAATTTACGGAAATTGATCGATTCTGGAGCCATCCACTTAATAGGAAGTTTAAGTTGGGTAGCTATTATATTTTAGACATGTTTGAAACCAATATATATTTGCTCAGCAATTTTGAAATTACGTGAGTTGATACAGATACAGTACATTAGAATTCCGACTTACATTTGTAGTAAAAAGTCTCATCATCAATCAATCTAGATAAACCAAAATCAGCTAATTTCATTAAATCATGCTCAAATACCAAACAATTTCTTGCTGCGATATCTCTGTGAACGAATCTTTGCGAATCTAAATACTCGAGTGATGAGCATAATTGTATCGCGAAACGAACTAGAGCATTTTCACTAATTTGATCATCAAACTTTTGTAAATACGATCGCATCTATAAAATACAGAGGTGATTAGTATGAAATAGTTAGCTTACCATAAGACGTACACATGGACTATTTAAGCTATTCAATTTAGAATGTGATGTCACTCAACGATGCCACAAACTAGTGATGTGTAATAAAATTAATGCAATAGTACGTGTCGACTGTATAATAAGCTTCAGTTGGTAACCTCTCCATATTTAGCTAATTCCATCACGATAAACACCGGTTGTCCGGTATGAATACCAATTAAGCGAACAATATTCGAGTGATTGAAACGAGTCATGGAATCTAAAATAGAGAACAATCAAAATCAAACAATTTGAATAACTTACGAAAAAAACGAATTTTTAATAGTGCGTTACATGCTTCATCCAAAAATTTATCTTTCGTTGTTCCAGTGTCTTTACAAGTTTTAACAGCTACTTCCAGATTTTGACTATCCTATAGCATGAAACAACGAATACTTTAACCTGTTAGTCCAAATAAACGCTAATAAATATCAGAGGAGATATTAATTTGTTCAATTAGATAACCTTTGACTGAAAAGTTCCACAGAATACATCACCAAATTGTCCTTCACCGATAATCCGATCAAATTTAATCCTTTCCGGATCAATCGCAAAACTCTCGCCTATTATCCAGGTATTACATCGGTATCAACCACAATTTTTTTATCACTGCTTTCGTATTATACGTGTAATAAAACTTTACAAGAACATTTACCTTGATTGCCAGGCCGCTGATTTAGATTTTCAATAGTTTCATAGTCATCTTCATCTTCATCTTCTTCTATAAATGTATTATCACTCGTTGAGCATTAAAAGCAATCACTAATTTACTAAACAATATAAAAATTACTAATAAGAAAAGGAATTAAAGCTATATCTTACCGTCAGAGTAAACTAAAGTACTTCTGTTAGAGCTATAGAAGAAGGCGCAAGTTATTATACTTTATGTTTGATCGTCATTTTTATTTAAACTATACAATTAACAATCTCATTTGCAAGACTATCCAACTTACAGTCCACCACCTTTCGAACCCTCCTCCAAAGCATCAACTGAATAGCAATAATAACAAAATGGTAAGACAGAAAGCATACATACTCTTCGTAAATGTGATACATTATAGTCTAGTGAGGCTGTGGGCATTGTAAGTACTTACCTGAAGAAACCGAACCATCTTTGATCTTTTTATAAAAGCAACAGTAACCTTCAGTAAGATCTGCCATATCAGAAGCAATCTCAACATTGGCAGTACCGATTACTATTGCCTAAAAATATTTTAATGATGTCGTTATAACCATATCCCTAACCACTAATATAAATCGATTATCACTACTCATAGCAGGCTACAGCCTTTAAATATGCAAAATAATATCACAGTATATGGTGGTCTATCACCTTTGCTGAAGTTTTTAACTTTAAAATTAGTAGTCCAGAGCCTTCAGATGTAGTTTTTGCCTGTATAGTTCTTATATTCTCGAATTTTGTAAGTAATGATGTCTACAATTTCAAAAATAAGTAGCAATTCTAGTTCAGTAACGGCTTATTCCATTCTGAAATAAATTCATATTTTATATATTAGTATTTATTTATATATGACGTAAATCTTATAGACAAGTGAGTAACAGGCCAGGCGAGATCTTACAGAATTCAAATTATCAGTGGCGTAGCCAATGCCAACGTGAATACCAATACAAACACTAACATTGATTGATAATCCAGCCTAAAGCGGACAGTTGACCATAGTTAAGATTTTACTTACATTAAGATTAAGATTATATATACAATGGAGATATCTTAACAAAGAATAAGCGAGAAGCCTTCGACTGCTAAATATTGCAATTATTCTAAAAGTTGTTTAACCTGTAACGTGCATTTAAAGGATTCCATATCGTATGGATGCACCGTAAGGACAGAATGGCAAAATTTTAAAGCACACTCTGCAGGCGTAACATCGACATAGTTTTTAAATTCTTGCTGGATGGACTTCCTTAAAACTTTTTTGGACTGCAAGTTGAAACACTCTTAGTAATGAAAAATGTGCATAAATCGAGTATAAAAGATTGGGAATATTATAATCTTGAAAGTAATATTACTTTGAAAGAATCAATGATACGTTGCGGTAAAAATTTGTGCAAGCCATAGTCTTTTCTGTGATGATAATAAAGTGGTAACGTAGATATACGAAAGTGGAACGATGACATTTACATCAACCAGATATTCAATATTAGTACAGGAAGTATGAAGGCGAAACAACTACGTTAATAATTAGAGAAAGACTTTTTTGTAGATACTAACTCTATTAATTCAAAATTTCCTTTCTTTTCCAAAGCAGATTGAGTTAAATGCTTGAAAAGACACCTATTTATATGCATGATTAATATATTACGATTACAGCATTACAGATAAAATTATAGGAAAACAAACGTATTTTAAATAATTCACAATTAAATGATGAAGCACTGCGGCAGGATTTACAATTTATCAATTGTGAAGGTGTTACGACATAGCATACCTCATTTGTAGAACCGCAAGTTTGATTGCATTTTCGGTAGATATTTTACTACTGTACTCGTTTAAATAGTCGTTCCTTACCTAGAGAGTAATAACGTCGAAAGCAGGTAAGGACTTCTTATCATATGAGATAAAGTACGGCTAGCAATATTGCCGCAAACATAGTATAAGATGAGGCAATGGAAAGTAAAGTAATGTTTTATAGAATACGTAACGTATTCATATACGCGTACTGCCTATACAGTATATTTCATATCGCAATAATGTGAGGTGATATGGATAGACATTCGTCCTTTAAATTAATTAACTCTTTAAAAACTAGTGATCAAAAACACTTTGATTATGATAATATTATCATAATTTTACCGTTGACATTGACGTATGTTGAAAATCTGCATTTCGTAGTTGAGCCACTCAAAAATGGTGTAAATGATGTAATCGGCATAGAGCAAGAATTTATATGAAGACTAAATATCATCTAGTGTACAATATTAAGAGGGATTACTTGATTATTTCATGATTATTAGAATCCCTAATGCTAACTATCTATATGAAATTATCTGCTTGCTGTAATACACTTGTTGTAACATATAGTATATTTTAATATCGTGTAATATATTACAGTATACGCACTGTACAGGAAGTTACCTAAAACACCACAGCATCTATTACGAAATAGGTTATTTATCTTTAATAATACATTATGCAATCTAAATTTGTATTTATATATCTATTCAATAATACGCTTTTTTTAAGCAGATAAATCGGTCTTTGATAGGGATTCTTCGGACCTGTATACAAGGTCTGATTAACTATAAGCTACTAATCATTCTGTAGTACCATTCATCCTAATACCAACTGTAGTTGAAAATGGTACTTTGTACAGAATTCGATCGAATACCAATGCTTTAATATCAAATAATCTTATCATCCGATGATATTAGGAGTATTTGTATAGCATTTGATGATAATAGTAGCAGGTTTTCAATATAATAAGATACAACGCAATCAACATGAAATTATCTTTGTAAAATACATTTTTATCAGTAAACTGATAATTTTCAAGGAAGGTTTGCTAGAAGATATGCATAGCATTGTTGAGATAATGATAAACTCAATTTAAGATTGTATATAGACAAAGACTGAAGTCTATATCACAGAATTATGAAAAATTACTATTTTTGAGATAGCAAATATCAAATTTTACCTGCTCGTAATAAAGTAGGAAAACGGAGTTGTCACTGGTACTCAGTTCAAGTAAATCATCGGGATGAAATCTAATTCTTAAATAATACCTAACATGCGTAATAGATGTATAGAAAGACAGATCATTTCTGAGTTTTCTTAATTTACTTTCCTTACAGAAAAGCAAGACTACTCTTTTAACTTGACACTAACATTTAGACACTTGCAAAGTATATTACAATCGATGAAGATCTAGTACATGCATACGAGCACATATACAGTAGTAGAGTAAGTGAGGTTAGTAAGTACAGTATATTTGTGCAGAAGTGTTACAGAGCAGCAGAGTTAGTACTGTGGCAATTGCTATCTCTTTCATGTTCATACGTATAAATAACTAATACTATTAACGTCATACTGATAATATCTCGTTGATTACAGTTTTTAATATGCCAAGAATCATTTTGCAATACTGTTTATTTTCCAACTTACTTGACATCTTTCTGCTTATTGAGGTCTTCAAAGATCGCATTAATTGTGGTATTAGGTGAAAGCCAGCAGTACTTTTCTTCATTAGAATAGCGAGCTTGGATAGCAAAATACTTGTAGGCCATTGCAAAATTAGATGAAAGAAATGTCTTAGACAAGACTCTCCTAAGTAAGGCCTAAAATAGACAATCGTTAGCAAATATTGATCATTTCATTAAGTTCTAATAAAGGCTGGGATTCGTAGGTTGTGAAAAGATGACTATACGTAGAGTTGCAAGTTAACGCTGTCTGTAACATGACAGACAGTATACGGAAAAAAAAAATTGAAATTAAATGATCTAAATCGAAATTCTTTATTGCCTATTTTAATCATTCTGCGACAGTTTGTTGGTGCAGTATGACTATTATAGCGAAATTAATATAGAAATTTTTATAAATATGTCATTGCTCGTATATACTGTCATCATCAAGGAGTACAGTAGATAACCTGCTGTAAAATAGTATTGTATAATTGTACAAGTTTAGATCATGTAGTGACTTGATAATCTCCTTTGGTATCAAATATCTCATTCTATTACTTAAAGGTGCCAACTAGCGTTTAGTTTATACACTGTACAGTACTATCAAAATGAACAATAGCACAATCTTTGCAATGGATAAGGCTTAGGTAATTGAATCGTTACGATCACCTTAATGCGTAAGTTTCCTTCGCAGCCGATGGCTTTACGCCTGCCATCCGGTAAATAAATGTTGAATTCGATAACATCAGCACCGCTTGGACTGGTAGCCATGGTCGATATGGTGAAAGGCCTCAGTCACTTGAAATTACTATGTTTAATTCGTCTACTATACTCGTATATATAGCTGTATTGAGTGTAAGTTAACGCTCAATCATGGACTGATTTGTGTACTCCTATCTGATTGACCTGCAGTATATAGGAGTCAGTCAATCAGAAGGATTTTATATTATGGTAGATGAAGAATTCTTCTAGACGATAGTGGTAAGACTAATTTATCGATTGACGATGTCGATTCGATTTTCATTCAAAGGAGAAGAAACAGCAATATTCTCTCTCGCTCTCGGCTCTTGATATGCCACTATGAAGTTGTTTTCATATTGTATAAAGATGCAAGCGCTCAGGCACTAAAGTTTTCTTACGCTCAATCTATCAAGACTAACATTTAACCTGTACGAGTAATAAAAGTAACGCACTTGATCCGAGACATCGGAGATCAGGTATTAATTAACCTTAATTATGATCATCAATATACTGTAATAATAAAAGAAGAGGAATTACATTATTAAAATAAATAATAATAATGAATAATTACGATGACGACATGATTGCTGCATCAGTTAAGTTAATACTGTAGTGTATACAGTACAGTATAAGTTGAGTTGGGTTTCATACAGTACAGTGCACGTGAAGTCAAGGCATGCGCACAATGTACTGTGTTGCACTGTACTTGGACGGTCGGACATTAACCTTTATATCGTCTTGATCTTAAACTGTTAGATATTCGATTTCAAATTGCTAAATGGAGTAATATTTCATTGATTCTTAGTCTATTTTGCTAAGTTCTGCTTGAAAGCAGTTCTATAGCTTCATAAATTTTTTTGAGTTAATAGTCGTGATTAAGAAAACAGATACAGAAGATGCATACCACAGTATAAGTTAGTATTATTCAAAAGTCCGTCAGTATCTGTATAGTATACTGTATGCTATATTATACGGTATCATCTGGTACTGATACTGTGGTACTTAATATCGAGATATCTTTAGACAGCGTACTGTACTATATATCCATGGTCCAGGTTCAGAGGACATTATTGTCCACTAGTACATAACTAATGCCTAATATCCACTTTGTCCAGCTATATTACTCTTCAGTCAGACAGACGAACTTTTCTTACCATATGAGGCCGTCAATATCGAAAAATGGCTACTTAGTATGGATTTTCCGTGTCTGATTTCGAAATAACTGGTACTAATTTAAATAATAATAATAATTACATCTACGATCTTATATAACTGTTTGTAAGTAGAACTTGGTACATAACCGATACTAAGATTCAACGTAATATTTATTTGGGGAATTTACAATACCGTCCATGATTAACATCGTATTCACAACATTGTCAACGATTCATATATTTATTTCCTTAATTTAGAAAAAAATCAGCCAATTCGAATCGATCATCGGCATACTCTACTAACTATAGTACTGTTAGTCTGTCATAGCGAAGTGTTTGCCACACTATTTTGGTGAAAGAGGGGAAATGTCTGTCCGTCCAAAACATGATAAACACAAGCATGCATTTTATGGGCGATGGAGTAACATTTTAGAAGTTGATCCCAATTTACTCAATTTAGTAAGTTTTTAAAATAATGTTTTGACCATATCCTAGCTCACCACGCACCCATGTTTTTGGAGTGAATAAGAAGGAAGATGCAAACACGGTTGTGTACTATAACTCCGAAAATAGCTACAGACCCATAGACCCATCGAAAAAATCAGCCAATTCGAATCGATCATCGGCATACCCTACTAACTATAGTACTGTTAGTCTGTCATAGCGAAGTGTTTGCCACACTATTTTGGCGAAAGAGGGGGAATATCTGTCCGTCCAAAACATGATAAACACAAGCATGCATTTTAGGGCGATGGAGTAACATTTTAGAAGTTGATCCCAATTTACTCAATTTAGTAAGTTTTTAAAATGATGTTTTGACCATATCCTAGCTCACCATACACCCATGTTTTTGGAGTGAATAAGAAGGAAGATGCAAGCACGGTTGTGTACTATAAATCCGAAAATAGCTACAGAGCCATAGCCATCGCCATTTCCAGAGAGCGGAACAATGTACAGTACAGTACTATACTGTAGTATTAGACTTCCAGTACGGCACTGCACCAGCAATGATTTTGTCTACAGTACAGTACACTGTACAGTACAGTATCATGGAGAAACGAATTGATACTGTACACTGTACTCTGTTACGCTGTATGACGGTAAGTCACTCACAATACTCAGTGTAATGGCGCCCGCGCATAGTGATGATAGTAGCGATACTCAAACACCTAAAACGTTATGGTCAATATGCTAATACATATTGCATGCTGAATGGGAGCGGCGGAAACACGGTGCATGACTGGGCTTCATTGTGCGCAGGTGGGGGGCCTCAGTAGCAACTACCATCAGCGGTCTTGTGGTGGAAGAAAAGCATCAGTTTTTCAATCTTGGGCCGAACAGATCACAAAGTATCAAGACTTTTCGGCTTGTGGCGGTGCTTACTCCTCTTGTTTGCGCTAATTACATAGGTAGCCTTGAATAAATTGCTCTATCTGAGTAATACCTAATATTTTATCTCCTTTCTGTGTTGTGTAAAAGTAGGGGAAAATAGGTTATCACTTTTTTTTTTTCCTTGAGTGCTTTTTCAACATTTCACTGTCCAATATAACAATGAAAATTTCTCTTTCTTCCTGCTCTTTCCGCCAAGAAACATTTAAAATATCTATCTAAACTTTGAATTGAAATACTGTAACACAACTTGAGTTTCATCAACGTTGATTTCCTTTAGCCAGAATACTGATGACTATGACTAGAACTAAAAATGGACTTGTATTTTATGCTTTATGGAATTTTCAAGTACAAGCCAATTAGGCAAAACTGAATGAACGCTTATTCTACTGTATGGTTTTGCATCAATTTTCATTGATCCTTTTTTCAATCGATCATATTATAGAATAACATAAACGTTTAATTTTTGCCTTTCTTCCTTACTTATTATAGTGTCTTTATCATACAATTTGAACCACATGTGCATGATGCTAGTGAAGTGTTTGCAATCAAATATCAAACAGGACGATGACTAGCGCTTGAAGTCTATCTCTCTTCATGCTGTACTGTACTGTAGGGTAGAAGATAAAATATATATATACAGTATATACCGTTACAAAAAGTCACTATTGACTATAAACGTAAGCGCAATTCGATACTTCATATTAAGGTGAATATCTAGTGTTATAGAGGCTCTGCTTTGACGAGCATGGTTTATTTACTGTTAGGATAATAACATATCCAGTGTGGAAGAGACTTGAGTCTTGTGAACGCTTCCATTTCTTGCTAAGCATGTTTAATCCATGACTTTATGATTCTGGTCAATTTCTGCTGTACAGTACAGCAACTGAAGTCAGCAAGTCCAACTTTCTGTATTTGCTACAGTAAACGCACTAAAATAGATTGTAATGGAAATTAGTAAAACGTCTAGCCATCTGAGCAATGCAGTACATCGCCTTTGACCGTTATTTTAACTAGCAATTACTCCATTTCTATAATTGATTAAGCCATGATAAATGTCAAGTCTTTTGATCATTATATTATTGTTATTATTATTATTATTATTATTATTATTATTATTCAATGATTTACAGATACAGTATAACGATTTCTATTTACAAGTATCGTATTCTCTATTTTTAGATTCATCTTTTATCCAAAGCTGTGCTGTTTTGCGACGAAATTAACTCGATTAGCCAGTGCAGTTACGTATCTGGAATATAAAATTGTGTACAGGACAATTCTTGTATAGTCTATATTGAGCTTTTCCAGTTGGGTAGTTAGTTTATCGCCGAAAAGAGTAACAATGGCCGATCGTACGCGAGTTTACATCGGCAATTTAGGATCTGGCGCCGCTAAGCACGAAATTGAAAAGGAGTTTGCACGCTATGGACCTCTGAAAGATGTTTGGATTGCTCGAAATCCGCCAGGTTTTGCCTTTGTGGTATTTGATGATCCACTAGACGCACAAGATGCAGTTGAAGCATTGGATGGAAGAAGACTATGTGGAGCACGCGTTCGAGTGGAAATTGCTCGTGGTGATTCTCATCCGTCAGTGAAGAGATCGACAGGTCATCGCGGTTAGTAATTCTCATTAATGGACATTTTTTACCAGCGTACCCGTACTTCAGAAATGGTCAAATTGTAATGCAACGTGCGTGTATATGTAAACGTGACTGCGCATTATTGCCATATGATAATTTCTAGTCTTGAAAACTATGACAGAATACTGTTGTGTACGATCCGATCATCTCTTACTATTCGCTCGGCTTGTATACCACCATTTGTTAATGTTGTTTGCTATTCTTTTGTATATACAGTATTGATTGGCCTTAGTACTAGATCTCTACAGATGACTATTAGTGATATTATATTACTGCGGGTTATGTATAGTTTAATTCTATTATTTTAAGTATTGAACCGTTCCGTACAATAAAATATACGCGTATAATAAATAAATAATAATATAATTGACAGTATCTCAATACAAACTGTACCAGTTTGTAGAGCAGGTAAAAAATGGATTATCGCGATAATTCAGACCAGAGACATGTAAATAAAATTAGGTTGATTTTTATTTTTGCACCTTCTTAAATAAAGTTGTATATCAAATTAATTAATTATAATTATTACTGTTAGCGATAATTTATCTGTACAATACCTACAATGTCTTCTACTCTCTACACGTAACGTGAGTAGCAGATTTGATGCACTTGATTAATTCAATCACTGTAAATTTCTAATTTATGACCATTGCGTAATTTGCAGTTACAGTACCCTTAGAGAGAAAAATTTGTTATATTATTAGGCTAATTACAGTCATCCAGAATAGCTTTTCAACTCTATTAATTACATAATCTTGAAGAATTAATGTACCGCAACTGTAATATAAATGACATAATGATGTGATCAATATTCTACGAATTATGTGATTACAATGCTTCTTGAAATCATACTATAAACTGATAATGCAATAGTAAACTGTAGAATCTTTATTTCTGTTAATAGGTCGCGTTAAATTGCTGTGTTTACCTTTGTTGTTTATCACATAAATATAGATCGTGGTGGATATGGGGGTAACCGAAATGAACCTGATCGCTATTCCAGTAGGCGCTCAAGATCTTTCTCTAAGGAAAAGTATGATAAACCACCTCGTCGTCGATCCGGCTCCAGAGATAGATTTGACGACAGGCGGGATCGTGGTGCTGTCAGACGTTCACTTTCACCATATCGAGAAAGAGTAGAGCCAGACTACCGCAACAGACGATCACGATCGAAGGAACGATACCAGCGCAGACGATCAGTTTCACCTTCAAGACCGAAATATGAAACAAACCGGTATGATACGGGTGACGGAAGACACGATTCCCCATCGAGGGGTAAATACATGTCACGTCATAGATCTCGGTAGGTTTCTAACAAGACGCTACGCGAGTGCTACTTATTAAATTAATTATCAGCAGTGATTGCAGTCCTTGTTATACTGTATAATATAATTTTTATCAGCTTTTCATGCTGACCTGGAATTGATCAAATAGTCAGTGCCAATTTTTCTTATATGGTTTAGTGTTAATTGTGGTACTGTTTTCGGGTTCTTTATTAAAGGCATTCACTCTTTAGTTAGCTTTCACCGTCTACTACCCACTACTATTACCTCTTTCTTCCGTCTACGAATATTTCTACCCATGTTGTTACTGTTCATTAAGCCATACCTCGTGTGATACAGTTCTACATCGTCGTGTCAGCCCGCCTAGCTCCTCACCAGCCGTGCTACTTCTCGCTAATCAGTATGCGAGTGCGAGACTTCCGCTTATATCTCTTCATTTGCAAGCTAGCTGAACAGATCTTTCTTGCCTTTCTATATCATTGGAGTAACACCTTATCTATAAAAGTCGACATAATATAAAAACCGGTAGTAAAAATTTAAGATTTGGTTGGCAGCCGAATGAAGATACTTCATACAACTAAAGCGATGTAGAAAGTCTCGTCATTAACTAGCAGCTACAAGTACTTTCTACTCGATTGATGGATGCTACTGCTCTACTTCCTGCATCTTGCATCTTGCATCTTTACCAGCGTTTTAAAGCTATGTCTATGAATCTACTATCGTCAGGTCTATAGTTTTCCCATCCATTATGTTAGATCATCACTGACGAAATCTTTTCATGCTACGACTACTGTATTCCCTGCTAATTACGAAAGATGGGTAAATCCATAGAATGAAGCGTCAACTTTATAAATAGGAAGGGTTATGCCTTATTTGTTTATTATTTCATGAAAAATTTGACTTTAATTATTATTATATTTGAAGTAAGGATTGAGTAATAAATGTCTTCTTTTTTCTATTAGATCTCGTTCACGATCGCCAATGTCAAGAAGAAGAAGAATCGAGGAAGGCGATGCTAGGTTACACTTACAGTAGCCTTTTTTTTAAATTCGAAATAGTAGAAATTTTATTATTTTAAATTTTATTTTCTCGGTATTTAAATGATTGTTTTTCTTACTTACAGATATAAATCACCTAGAGAAAATCGAGGGTCGCCAGGCCACAGCCAAGAACGCCGTGACTATTAACATTGCTATAGAATAATTATTATTATTATTCACTTGATTCTGGCTGGGACTCTTAGAAGTTCACTTAATTCTGGCAATCAACTAATTTTGAAAGGAACATATTTCGGTTATTCGTTTACATGCAGATACACGTGCAGATACACGCATACTTCTACATCCTGTATTGGCATTAAACTTTACTGTCTAAATAGATGTTAATATTTCAGTTTTACTTATCACTTGTACTTATGCGATCGTTTAACTGTTATTCATGTTATGTATTGAAATGCTAAAATGTTGTCATTATCATCAATAAAATATTATAGTAAGCGATACCAACGAAACATAACTGGTTGTACCGCTGCATGATCGATCAGTATGGTATAGTGTAGTCAGTAACAAAGATATGGCAGTTTACGCGTGTTAAAATCGAGCTTTGATATAGCCTCAGTTGTTGTTTAAATAGTCTTTGTAGTCTGCGTTGTATTTGGATGTGAGCAAGTTAGTGATTTACACCTTAAAGAAGGCTTCGATCGTTCCACATAATTATGTGAAGCTAACACCTGTCATTTTAATCACACAATACTCGTTATTTACTATAATGAGAGACAATCATTTGTGGTATTTTTGTTTACATAGTATTGCTCACTAATCTACATAACACCAGCAATGATAAAATGCGGAATAAGTAGGTTTTCTTGAAGACATGTTAGATAAATATTACTACCCGGGTATGTCAATATAAAGGGAGTTATTGTATGCTGTTAATTATACAGAGAACGATATCATACTATTATAGTAACATCGAATTTATACCTTAATGATCTCCAGAATAAGATAATAACATCAACTTCTAAACCATTGACGGAATATTTCACGTCTTGGTAAATATGAAAGCGTGTAACTTCCATAAAGATGTCAGACTAATGATATTACTTGCGAACTTCGCAGACGGCAGATTGCTCAAACTCATCTCAAGATTAAATATAATGTCTAATTCGATAATAGTATTGAAACTATTATCGGAATTATGAATGCACGATTAGCAACAATCGTTACATATATTGTGAGTATCAGGGCTGTACTAAAACTTGTAAATCAAATTCAACTATTGCGACTGATTAAGTTGTTGATTCAAATATATTTTACCGAAAATAAAAAGCCGATCATTCCGAAATTTTACCTGTTACGTAATATAACGAGATTGCAGCATATCAATTTCTCGCCAATTCAATGTACTAACAAATATACAGTGTTGCGGCTCGCTATCATAACTTATATAATTATTTATTGTTTTGATGGAATACAAAGGAATCATGTTGTATTTGCTAACGGTCAGATTCAATAAATAATAACATCGAAACGATAGAGAAGTCTTATTAGTAGCTACACTGACAAAAAGATCAACTAAGGGTCGTTACGATAGACATTAAATCAGCATGAGAAGTAACAAAATGTGTATTTGTAGCTAATAGTCAATTGTATGATCCGAATGTTTATCCGTAGATGAAAAAGAAAGGCAGATTGTAGAATATACGAGTATATTATAGTATAGAGGTATTCCTTGTAGATTTTTTAGAGATTACTTAAAATATTAGAATAGTCACAGTGCCAACACTATGATTAAGTATCTTAATTATGGGCACATAATAGCACTAAGAAATTGATCATGACCTGCACCAAGCTTAGTTCTAAGACCTATTATTTCTAGTAGTTATATTGTAAATTAATATAACAATGAGTAATTATCTAGCTATCTTATTGGCTTTAATAACAGTTAATTCGGCTAACAGTTGTTATCAACTGGCAATGTCACGCCAAATAAATAATCAAGTAGCAATTTCAAGTAATGCAAGTCATGGATAATAGTTATGTAATCAGTAAATAAATAGAGACCTAAAATTTGCTCATTTATTTGTGTATCAGAGAAGAATGGATTTTAGATCTATATTCTTTCAATTTATATCGTAATTAATTGTAATTATTTAGATCGAATGTCTTATTTCTTATTTATTAATCACGCTGACTCGTTATACTGAGTCAGTTTTTATTCCTAAAAACATTGTCATATGGAGTCTTGTGGTGGCGCGATTTTGATGTAATAGCCAGATTATGCATTAGAAGATTAATAATTAATTAAGATGGCATTAAACTATGAATTTATATTCTTAGATAATAAAAGTTATAGGAATTAATCTCAGTTACTAATATATTTTTATACAATTCTTGATTTTTATAATTTGGTAATCTTAGATGTTACGGACTTATACAATCAAATTTTAAAATTACTGCTATTAAAGAGACCAGCTACGGCTTGCAATATCTCAAGAATATAACGTTCTACTACAAATTAGAAGTGGCCTGCCTTAATTATGGTATTGGTGTAGAATTAAATTCTTTCTTTTTAATAAATCGTACTTTTTTGCCACAATAAAGGCATAATATAGCAGGATTAACGAATTTACTGAGACATCATGTTATTTTCTTGAATGAATTTTTATACTTGTGTAGTTAGTTATTTATATCACATCATAGTGTTTCAAAGAAAACAATAATATTCTTTTTGGTAACTTTTTATTGAATTTACACTTTATTCCGACCAGATTCTATTCAGTCATTTCATCTTAAAGGACCTTGGGAAGAACATAGTTTTAGCTTCCACTTTTTTAAAATGTTTATATTCGATTTCTAATTTAACAAAATAGGCCTTTACTTTCTGATGAGAAATATTGTCAAGTGGTATGTGGTAATTTTAGTGTTTTATGAACCCTTTATGTTTTCCAAGTGTTTATCGAGTGGACGGGAGTGTATTGGGAGACCAACATCTTCAACACAGGTGTTTCACCTCTCATTTATGTAACAGTTTAATTATTGTTTTGATTGAATAAATAAATGTAAATAGTCTTACATAACGATCTAATAGGATGATATAAAAGTACGATAGGATCAAACTTTATTTCATCCACTGCTGAGCCTCAAATCGATAGATTAAAAGAAATAAATCAAAACTACATCATCGCACTAGAAAATTAAGGGTGGAAAAATGAATGCAAGTAAAGATCATGCCGAAGTTTACCGAACTGTCTACATTGAAGGAATGCCACTTTATTCACTCTTGGTTGATGGTAAAGAGCGCCTTTGCTTATCGCAGATATCAGCAACTCTACTAAAAGATTTCACCTACAACGATATCCATAATCGTCGGGTAGCCTTAGGGATCACCTGTGTGCAATGCTCACCAGCTCAATTGGAACTTCTACGAAAGATCGGTGCTATACCACCAACATCACGCCGATGTGGTATGATTACTATACGTGAAGCTGAAAGATTGTGCAAATCGTTCCTATCTTTCATACCACCTCCAGCACTACCAGAGGAATATGCTTTCGATGTTTATCACAACTATTCCTGGGGTTGTGTGGGAAAATTTTATCCACGCTTATACACTAATTCACGCGCTAAGTGTATTAAATGTGATTACTGCCACAAGTATCACTCTCCTAATAAGTTTATTTTCCACGTTCATCGAACTGAAGGTTCAACTTATACACATCCACGATCTGGTAATTACAATTGTTGGCGTCGTCATTTATTTTTAAACGTGACTACTGCTAATGATAAATTATTGGAACAATGGGAAGATTTAAAAGCGTTATACAACGGCAACGGAAAAAAAAGAGGAGCATCATCGAAATCTCTTCCTATTGGCGTCACAAATAAATCTATGAAATACCATGGCAATCATCCAGCAGTGCAGCCTCAAGTAAAAAAGCGCGGAAGACCATGCTTAGCTCGTATCGATGGAAATAATATACCTCGTCCTACTAAATTTTTACTTCAGGATAGCGCGAACAGCGTAAAACATAGTCATAATCCTGTCGGTAAGTTTTTAAAGAATATAATAATACCGTCATACTACGATAGGTCATATCATGATACGGTCTTAGACTAATATAATTTTCTTTTGCCAATAATGATTTGTATAGCTGATCTTGAAGAACAATTACAAGAGGAAAGAAAGAAGAGAAAGTTAGCTGAGCAAGAATGCATGCATTTACAAAGTTTGTCCTTAGCTGATATAACTCACTTTCGCTTTAATAGCTTACGATATGCGTGAGTTACTCATTGAATGTATTTCAATCTATTTCTTGAATATAGATAAGATGAAATTACAATGCGTTGAAATATTCGGTTGCCTACCAACAATGAAATAATTACAATTATCGGTAAAGTAATAATTCATACATGAAAGCCAATGGATACAATTTTATGATCTATGCCGACAAGACCTTCCCCTTATTAGAGTGCTAAAAATGAACTGTAAAGTAGTCATCAACGAGAGAAAAATATTATTTGAATAATACCATGTACACATAAAATCTATTTAATTTCTTGACTTTTGTATTCTATCGTATAGACAATATTTAATCTCAATGTTGTGTTTTGATCCTCTGCATTAATATTTTACTGATTGATAATTAGTAATAATGTGAAACATTACGGTATATTGTATTGTATCATATGGTTATAATTTATGGTTATTTTACCACTTTCATAAAATAACAAATTGGCATAAGCGAGCCTTGTATTAATATTGCTTTCATGGTTTGCTTCTATAACTCTATGCATTGCTCATTGCGCTAATTTTGTAATATCCTAGATTACTCGATTTATCATGATCAAATAGTCATATTGTAGCAGGCTATTAGATTAGCCAGTACGATTGGACTATTAATATAAAGGCCAACTTATAACAGAAATAATATGATTTTATGCCGCAATTTAAGTTAACGTATGGATTGGATTTCATTCAATGCTACTTTTGTACTATCGATAAGATAATACAGCTCTCGATAGCTGTATTTTCTATTGACTGCTGCAACTTTCTATTTCAAATCAAATTTTAGAGGCAGAGGCAGAGGCATAAACATTACGCGTGTAGCAGTTCTACCTAATGAAGTTTAATTATTTATAATCATACTATTAACTTTATTATAATTAACTGTACGATATCAGGAAGAATAACTGAATAAAAATTCAATTTATTCTTGACTTCATTACTGGTAGTATGGTAAAAAATATCTTTGTTACAGTAATCTTTTCTTACGCTTAGTAGGGATATAGATCTATACTGTAAGTCTCAGAACGAAGCGAGCTTTACTCTACTGCGTTAGTATATGCAGGCTGAGTAGGACTATAAACTCTCTCTCTCTTAGTATACTGTCTATCTATGTATATCCCTGTCGCAGTTTTCCTCTAATCGCTATTTAAGTAACACTGCGAACGATATAATTCTACTAGAATAAGTATGCTTCTTTCGTAGTGATGGACTCCGTCTGGCCTGGACTTGCTTGTCCTCAGACTTGTCTACATCTATTTCTAAATGTCATCAATCCAGGACATTACTATCCGCATATGGCTTTTTCTACTGCCTATGCTAGAAATGATGCCCGCTATAGCTGGCGTCCATTAGACTTGAGCAATGTGAAGCCTTGCAGAGTTGCAGTAGCTACAGTCGGAAGTAGTTCCTGGCACAGTACTATCACGGGAGAGTATGGACTGTGCACTGTACAGTACTGTACTAACTGCACAGTACAATAACACTATAGTAAACTATACTGTAGTACAACTGCACGCTGACGGCCTATACAGTAGACTGTACTGTACGTATTGATTTGGCAGCTGTACTCATGGAGACCAGCCTAGTAGGGCCAATTGGAGTACAGCACTGAGACTTGTACTATACTCAATGCAATAGAATACTGTATCAACAATTCTCTTCTATACAGTAGTATAAAGCTCAACATGATCACGATGAAAGTCCATGAGACCTTGCGGATAAATTAACTGCCTAACCATTTGATGCTATCACCTCTAATATTGCTAAACTGTCCTTGTTAATCAAGAAGAAAGCGGAAAATTACCTGTAATAGGAAAGGTATAGTAGAGTAGAGTAGATACCTGCTACAATTGTTTTATATTAGATAAGAATGATGTTAGTTTATCTCGATTCTACTGTATCTTTATCGTCAGCTGGGATCAGCGTTGCAGCTTTTTGCAGTTAGAATACGATACAAATACAAGTCTTGCATCGATTGCAAGATGGAACTATGAAAAATGTAAAGCTAATAGACGTAACAATATCATAGTGTATAGCTTAGATAGACGTTGTAGCTTTTTACAGTTAGAATACGATACAAATACAAGTCTTACATCGATTGCAAGATGGAACTATGAAAAATGTAAAGCTTGTAGACGTAACAATATCATAGTGTACAGTATAGCTTGGATAGACGTTGCAGCTTTTTGCAGTTAGAATACGATACAAATACAAATCTTGCATCGATTGCAAGATGAAACTATGAAAAATGTAAAGCTTGTAGACGTAACAATATCATAGTGTATAGCTTGGATTATGGGAAACTCAGCTTTAGTAATGGCTGTAGCTTTTAATTAGCTTTTAGTGGATGTAATAGTATATGATTAGATGGATCATACTGACAAACTTTATCAATGAGCTACCCTTTAAGACTAACGATGCTGTTCTACAGGCGGACTAGACTTTCATTGGAACATTGACATAGTCAAATTAACTGTTGCTTGCAAGCATAAACATGGATGTAGATGGCAGTTACGGCGAGGTAATAGACGATAATCATAGCGAAGATGAACTAAGCATGACTAGGAAGCTAATTCGACAGCAGAATAGAAAAAAGAAAAAGTCTGGAGGTTTTCAATCTATGGGTAAATGTTATATCAATTTCTTGTTGACTTGTTATTTCTTTCAAATGTCCTAGCAGCTATTTGAAATATTACCGATATCCTGCACACATGCAATTGTTGTTATATTTGTATATACTTCAATATGCCAGCAGATGTATGCGATTATAACTTATTGAAACGGGCTCATAACATTGATATTTCTATTTCTAGGCTTGAGTCATGTCGTATTCAAAGGTGTCATGAAAAAAGGCTATAAATTACCCACGCCAATTCAACGCAAAGTATAACAAACAATATGAGTTATTATCCTGATATTTATCAGATCATTTTTTATTTCTGACTCTTCTTATAATGCTATTGCGTCATTAGTTATATTTTATGTAATCCCTTAATCGATATTGCCTTATCAACGCAGACAATCCCTATTATTGTGGATGGCAGAGATGTCGTAGCTATGGCTAGAACAGGTAAAGTAAAATTCTATGCAGCGTCTCTAGCTGTTATATACGAAAGGCACCAATTGTACAAAATGTCAAGTTAAATGCGTTTCATAAGACAATGTTTCTACCTGGCTAAAATAAACTAATCCACTCATTCAGTACATACTAGCTTACATATATTTCATTTAGCCAATATTTTAACAACATAAACTTTACTGCGTATCAATAATGGCAATTTCCTGCTTTAGGATCTGGAAAAACTGCGGCTTTTTTAATTCCTATGTTTGAAAAGTTGAAGGCCCATTCTTCTCAGGTATATCAGCTTCCTATAATTGATAAATCAATGTTTCATACCTGCCGGTAAATTAATTGTTGATTTTGTTAAAGAGTGGCGCTAGAGCTCTTATTTTATCACCAACACGTGAGCTAGCCGTGCAGACCCATAAATTCGTCAAGGAAGTGAGTATTGATGGCTGACTTAATATTCGATTTTCTATAAGCCATTCTTTCGACACATATTATTAACTACGTATTATATTGTAATTTTAGTTAATACAATTGCTGTAGATATAGTTGCTAAATGAAACTATTCATCTCATATTGTAGTTAGGGCGCTTTACTGATTTAAAGACTGCTCTTGTTCTTGGAGGTGACAGGTAAGAAGCACTGCATGTTCGCTATATCTACGCGTATTATACCATTAGAAATCTATAACAATTACCAAAACGACTTTCATTAAAATAAATGAAAAATTGCAATTCTATCTTCTCAACATACAAGAATGGACGATCAATTCGCAGCAATTCATGAGAACCCTGACATGTAACTATTCGTAATTTAATTTCTAATTTGAAATATTTTTTTTATTATTGCTCTTAAAATCAATTTTTAACGCTTTCTTCCAAGATAAACGAAATAGTAAAATAATGTTGATTATTGCTTTAGTATTATTGCCACCCCTGGAAGGTTTTTACACTTAGTAATTGAAATGAACTTAAAACTAATCTATATTGAATATGTGGTATTCGATGAGGCAGATAGGTTCGAAATAGGACTCCACATAAGCACTAAATCTAAATTAATGTTTTACCGTTGTAAATATCATAACCGAATGTTTCCAAAATCCTTGTTTATACACAGGCTATTCGAAATGGGATTTCATGAACAATTACAGGAGATTATACGAAGGTTACCATCTTCCAGGTAATTTTAGCGTGTCATTGGTATCGATCTAACTATGAAACAATTTAAGATTTCTAAACTAGTTCTGGATATAATATTAGGCAGACAATGTTATTCTCAGCAACTTTACCAAAATTACTGGTGGAATTTGCCAGAGCGGGTGAACAATTGATAAGAATCGTCTACTTGATATAATGAGTATTTGACAGTGATTATTATCATTAGTTGATCGCTTTAAATCTGTATATGATTATAGGCCTTACTGATCCAATTCTAATTCGTTTGGATGTTGAACATAAATTAAGTGAAAATCTCAAGGTAGCTGCAGATTATTCTTATTACTATATTTGCGTACCTATTTTGTGATAGAGTATTGCTATTAATTAATGTAGAAATCATGTATATTTCTTCTTTTAGCTTGCATTCTACTGTATCAGACCTCAGGATAGGACAGGTATCTATAAAAATATTTATGAATTATTTATTTTGCCATTGCTAGTATTTGGTTTGCAAAATATGATATTGTTACGTAGTTAGTTACGATCACTACAGTACTAATGTCAAATCATTATTCCATATTCTGCCACTATTTTAGCTGCACTGTTATATTTACTTCGTAATGTTATCAAAAGCAAACAGCAAACATTAATTTTTGTTGCAACAAGGCATCATGCGGAGTACTTAAAGGAGGTAAGCTCCTAATTATTAGACTTTAGGTTTTGGAAATGATTTTAATCTTGTTCATGTTTCCTTTACCAGCTATTAGTGGCAGCGAAGTTTGCCGTGTCTTGCGTGTATGGAAATCTTGATCAGACAGGTCTGTCAGATAGTGATTACAACACCAGTTTACATTTTAGTAGTTGCATTGACAGTAATGGTCTCGTCATTTTTAGCCCGTAAAATTAGCATCAGCCAATTTATTAACAAGAAAACATCAATATTGCTCGTTACTGATGTAGCTGTAAGTCGTATTGCAGTTAAACGCACTTAAACTAATAAAAGTACGATACTTAGTAGTGAATCGGATTGATGTATCGCTACATAGGCTCGCGGAATAGATATTCCTATCTTGGAGAATGTCATAAATTATAACTTTCCAGCACAACCAAAATTATTCGTCCATCGTGTTGGTATGATATTGCATTGCATACCTTTCTCGTTATTAACACAACATGTAAAACATAACTTTAAAGTCAGAATATTTACCGAATCGTTAAATTAATTATATTATTTGTTCAGGTCGTGTTGCAAGAGCTGGCCGATCTGGGACTGCGTATAGCTTTTTAGCAAACGATGAGGTTGAGTTTGTGTTATCAATCATATTAAAGGGCCATAAAATTAATAATTCATTAATATTTTCCTTCATTAATCCAGTTACCATATCTGATTGATTTACATTTATTTCTTGGACGTCCGTTACGGTTCGCTGGCGACACAACTGCTGCTAACGGTAATCTTAGCAAATCGGTATTCAGCTATCGATAAATGATATGCTTTTTTATACCAATTAAACTTATATAATATGATGCAACAATAGATCCTGAGAATGGTATCACTGGAGCTATACCCCAAGAAATAATCGACAGAGAAGAAGACTTTCTGCAGACCTTGCAAATTTTTTCATCAGATTTGGTAAATTGATATCTAATATTCAGTCAAATTTATTTCTGAATGCATACAATTGATAAATGATGATTTTACGTATTTAGTTATATTTGTATTTTTTCTAGCCCTCGTTATCTAAGGTTGCATTAAATGCATACAAAAATTATTTAAAATGTCGTCCGCTGCCATCTACGGCATCGGTTAAGCGTGCAAAAGACATAAATTTCAGTGAAATTGTTGCCCATCCGATGTTTGGTATGTATATAAACTGCCATAACTCACATATAATTAATAAATTATATAACGTGTAGTAATTGTTTAATCTTAGAATCCGATGAATCTCAGACTACCAAAGCTAAATTTTTAACTGAGATCAAAAGTTTTACTCCAAAGCAGGTTCAAAATAGCATACCACTTTACGTATTGTTTATTGCTAGACCTTTAATTATTACTCAAATAACAATCATAGACAATATTCGAGATATCTACAGGGACGAAACACTCGAAAGCTGCGGAGGTTATGAGAAGTAAAAGGTACAGTTTCTATCCTTTATAGCATTAAATTTTGAATAGTAACTCATTTAACGATTACCCTATTCGCTTAGAGATTATCACTCTGCTGTTATTCGGAGGCAACAACCGAACTCGCGTAAAAATACTTTGGAGTCAAATGATCCTAGCAATTCTCATACATTAGAAAAGGCCGATGAAGATTATACCACTGTAATTAAAGAATAACTGTTTGTACTTGTGTGGTGACATTGATTATTATTAATATACGATAACTTATGATTTAATTTGGTTATTACTACGCTATAGGGTGTATTTACAGAGATTGTAGACCCTAGGAAGAGAAAAAAAGCTAAAACCCTCCGTAAATATACTACTTAAATGAAACCTTGTTAATGACTGCATACTAATAGCAGTAATGTTTGGGATTTGCAGCTGGTGAAGGAGAACCAGTTAGAGATAAAAATTATGTGCCTTATATGCCGCAAGACTATGCCTCAGAAAAAGGGTAACTACTATTTGATGGCCAGAACTTGCGTTAATCTTATGAAGTCGAAATTATATATGTCAAAGATTTAAATAAACATTTTGAGTACTGTGGGTTTAAATTCGTAATTGTAGATTAAAGCTATCCGCATTCCATAACCAAGTGGGCAAAGTTGAATTAAATTTAATCGGTGATGAAGTACAAAATATGCATTCCGGAAAAAAGCAAATGAAATGGTAGGAATTCCAAAATATTAAATTAGAATTATGCTGTTTTTGATTACTTGCCTGTGGTAATGTTGTGAATGACATCCTGTAGGGATCGCAAAAAGAAAAAGTTTGTCAACCAGAACAGTGAGAAATCACGGAAAAAAATACGCACTGAAAGCGGAAAGAGAATAGCTTCCAGTTACAAATCTAACCTGTATCTTTCCTAAATACTATTCTTTTTTCTTCTGATGAATGAAAGAATCATTGAATATGGCCTAATGCCAGTAGTTAATAAAATTTCTTTGAAGGTTAGAGTCAAAGACCTTAACAACGTGTTATAGATATAATGACTGGCTTAAAAAATCGAAGACCGGTTATCGTAGAAAAATTGATAATGATCAAGATGATAATGCAGAATTTTCAAAGAAATTTGGTATGTATCTTTAAGCACTCTCGTATTATGTGCCATCGTCATAAAATCTGATGATTTCACCATATAATTTATCTAGTAATATTTTCTAAATAAGTTACGTCTTGAATTATCACCCATTCATTACGGTGCCTAATTAATTGCTGCTTTGTTACAGATCGAAAGAGAGGCAAACAAAAGAAGCCAGTTAAGCAAGAATTAAGAAGTAAGGAGCAGATACTAAAGCTCCGTCGGCAAAAACAAAGGCTATTTGATAAGCAAAAGCGAGGCAGAATGAGAAATCGTCAACGAGGGGCTGGTAATAAGAAAAGGACTCGCTAATTCGAATTAAAAATTGTAGCTATCCGTATTTGATGAATTTATCTATCAGTAACCGTCTGCTGCCCGCCCACTTCGTTCTAAATAAGGCCTTAAGCGTGGCGGTTACAAATTTAGCAGTTTTAACTGATGTGCATATTGCTTGTACTTGTACACTTACTTATCCTTTAAGGCCTCATAGATGAATCAGTCTTATGACAGAGATAAACTATCGAGGCCTATTTGCCATTTTATTTCCTGGCGATGCATTAAAATTATATATGTTTTATCCACTTGTTTACAACTAAAAAAACACTAATATAAGAAATATTTCGCAGCTGACTACGCGCGAAATAGAGCCAGGTAAAGTTATTATGCAATAATTGCTAGTATGCGAAAATGAATTACCTGTATATTACGTTATTTTATGATACTGTAAAACATATATCGAGATATTACGTTGTATTACAATTCATCAGATTTAGATAGAAAATTTATCGGCATAAATGAGCAAGTTAGGTTTTAGGAAAGGGTATGAGAATAGGTTTTCTACATTTATATTGTTTATCTAAAACGTTCTCGTAAGTAGAATGCGATTTTATAACTAGTTCTTCTTGTCTGTCTGCACTAGTAAAACTGTTGAACGAGAACTGAAATCATTACTAATACTGTATCTCATGGAAGAGCATCTAAGCTATATCATCAATCGGCAAGAACTAAAGCGTCTCTGTTTTAAGAACTGCTGTATTATACACTAAAATTGAATGCGTTTACTCGGGGATACGATTGCTACAATTGTATTATAATAAAATTTTTTTTTAATTGTATTGATATCTAAAGAGTTTTACAGTTAAAAATAATGAGGTTAAGAGTAATGATAAAGAACACAGGAACGGTTACTTTATTACACCATGTAAACACATTTTTAAAATGCATTATAAAATCGAATTCGATCAATAATAATATAGGCAAAATTACTCTAAATTTTAAGTTTACAGTGAATACCAAATGGACAGCCGTATACAATGGTTATGATTGGTATTTGTGACTTGTATGTTAGTAATACGTATTAGCGACGTTTAAGTATAAGCCACCATATTAATACATTCATAAAGATGACAGGATTTTAAATGCTTACGTAACATGCATAGATATATCAATTCTAATCTAGACCGACGGCCTTTATTTCACCTTTTTATGGCTATAATAGAAAAGTTAGTTAAGACAATCTAAAACAGTTGCTTAAATACCAACGATTTAAAAGATTCACATAAATAAATTGAATCCAACTAATAATTCATTTATTACTATTAGATAGATAAGTGTATTTATTATCTACGCGCAGTATTCCTGTATTATTTCGTTGTGAACTGAAGTTTCTAATTACATCTACTTGATTTATTGTACTATATCTACTTCAACAAACAGGATATAAGTTTTCGTTTTTTCATTAGTAGCTAAAAGCGTCGCGGGCAGTTAACAAAATATCCTATTTTATGTCAATAGCAATAGCAAAATTTGGTTGCAAAACATTCCATTTAACAAGGAATAACATTTAAATTTCGATCATGTCGTTTACGATAAATTACTTAATTTTAAAATTTTTTAAGATCACATGATAAAACAAAGTAGATGCCTTCAATTGCAGAAAGCCAACTTTAGGAAAGGAATATGATATACCTATGAGTACTTGATAAGTAAGTATATCATCGTCACTAATTAACTAATATGTAAACCTTCTGTTTTGAATATGATGTCAGCAAATACAAGCATTACCTATTCCTTTCCATCATCAACTGTTGAATACCTTCATTATATCGCATAAACATACAGCAGCAAACAGGCAATAATTGCAAAAAGACATGATTATATCAGGAGAATGAATTTGGAAATAAATTGTAATTGTAAAAAGCAACATTGATATACTATGCAAAGAGTATAAGTACTATGGTCAATTATATAGAAAAACATCATTTAAAGAAGTACAACTAATATTAAATGTTGGATTGCTTGCTTCTTTTTCCATCCGTTATAATTTTAATATTTCCTTTATAATCGGTCTTAATAGCAATGTTGCATGACGCAATTAAAGCTTCTCCATACCAACTATGACTACGACATTCACATGTAGCGATATCTAAACATTTATCATAATATTGCTTAGCTTTTCTATCGTTTTTAAGCATACAATGATAAATTTTGCCGATTCTACTATTAGCTTTAGCGACATATTCTTTCCAATCGCAGTCTATAAAGTCTTTATTGACAGATGCGATAACTTCGGTATATTTTTCAATTAAATTAGTGGCTTGTCCTTCGTCATAATCACCTTTACTTAATAAGTCTTTTAGAGTCTGTTCATTCTTTAATAATTTCCTTTCTGCTTCAAATTTACGAGCTATAGGAGTATCTGAATAGTAGGTTCTTGAGCATTCTTCGATAAAGCTCTCGCCTGATTTTCTTCTCTTCATATCTAAGTGTTTACTACTACTGCTATTGCCATGATTGCCGGGTAGGAGACATTTAGAAAATTGTTTAGAAACACGGCGAATGCCAGTAGCTCTGGTACCAGTGGTGCTACCACCATGACTGTTAATAGACATATGAAGATCGCTTCCTAATGTCTGTTTATTGACATAAATAGACGGCTGATCAGTAGCATTTCCATTACATGTCAATCGATTTAGTTGAGGTGATGAAGTAGATAATGCCATATTATAACTTTGAGGCCTGAGATTCTTAAACGATCTGGAATCGCTACGACAATCGCGAACATTAGCTTTAACTACTAAACTTTTAACTATAGTGTTTGCTGAACTTGCTCGACTTGAATTATCGTCGTAATCGGGAGAAACAATTTTCTTTATCATACTTATGCAAGATCCACGACGTGGCCCATCCTGTGTGTAAGCACTTACGCTTCGTGGAATAAAATTATCTGGATTATCATTTAATTCTGCCTCTTTCTCTAACTGCAATGAGAAGGATAATATATTATTAATCTGATCATTTTATAACAATGAAATGATTACTATATGGCTATCTACTGTAAATATTCAGCAATAACAGAGGAATTTATTTAGCGTTACAAATATCATGATTTCATATCAAATTATAATGAAATAACTCCTACTAAATCGAATTACATTACACTTGCTTCTACTAAATCAAAAATCAGAATAATTGTATACCGTTGCATTTCTATAGGTTAATAGATCATAGAAGTTGTTTTTAATTCTTAATCTACCAATAGATTGTTAGATAAAGCTTGTCAATAATATTAAAACAGAACTTTTATCTAAAATCCTAATCCTACAAAGAAAGATTGATACTATCGTTTTATCGATCTATCTATCACTATTTATACTTTATATAAATATAAATATATATATATATATATGTATATATAGTATATGTAGGATGTATTTACATGATGATAAATTCGTACATAAATTAAAGAGGATGTTCTCAATCATCTATTTACTATTGTAATGCATAGATATGCCATAACTGATAGGATTTCCTTCCCAATACCGATAAAGTACAATAGCGTATGGTCAAAAAATAAAATAAACAAAGCTTAATTTCTCTAGATATGACTTTATTTAGTATCAGATTAATGGTCGTTTAAAGCGTTGCTATATCATACAGTAAGTAATAAAGTTTGATGATAAAAAAATTTGTACGACTAAAAGTACTACAAAGTATAATAATTATATCCAAATTGTTCTCCTTATTACAGTTATGACGTTCAGGACAATAATTGAGTTTTATTCCTTTGAACATAACATTAATATTTGTGCTGTCATTTCCTGATATGGATAAATTTAGTCTTGACCTGTCATCATTTTCTTAGAATTACTATTGTATTCAATGGAAGCTATAGTCTACGTTTAAATATTATTCCTTATATTGATTTTCTATCCCCGAGTTTAATTATAATTATGGGTAGGACATGTATGCCTGCAAGATCAGTTCTAACTTTACCTGATGATGGCTATCGCTACCAGTAACTTTCCATTCTTCTTTTCGATACTTTAATCTGATAATAAATACTGCATTGCATAAGCAGACACAAGCCAAGATACCAACCGTAAGGATACTAATGATATTTCGCGGAGATCTCCAAGGTAGAAAATCAGAGGCAAAATCCATAGCTATTGCAACAATAGCTAAAGCATTGGTAATAACTGGAGCGATAGCTATAATTAAATTCTATATATAGATATTACGTAGCAGACCAGTTTAAATAAAATAACAAAGCGCGAACATATGTTTAAAGCAAATAGAATGAAAGTGTATTAACCGGATCATGATAAAATCCGCCATATTTTAATTGAAGATCAATCAAATCCAATGATACATTACGGTGTCAAGAGCGATTGATTACAAGAATTGATCATTCAGTTGAAGTTTCCATAGTAACCATTCCAAATGCCGGAATCAATTTCAAGGAGAAAAATGTCAAAATATATATGAAAATAATCCAAAATGAAAATATGGACTACATTAGCAATGAAAATAAAACTTTAGCTTAATTTAGTTACAGTGTACTGTAATAAAACTAGTAAATAAGTCATTACTATTCCTGATTTTCTATATTATACTATTAATAGCTTTTACGTAGAAAGTATAATTTACTTATTGTATAGACGAATTCAATTTTATGGCTTAAATTAAATTTCATTTCCATCTATTTTAAGTCTTCTTAATATTTATGTAGTTATTTAAATCAATAATATAGTTCTTCTATTTCTAAAGAAATAGAAGAGCTGAAGGATTAAATTAGAGTTAATAATTGAGGTAATGATAAAGATGAAATGTAATTCTATCTGAGTAAAGTAACTTACCATTCTGATACTTTTATGTATGCCTACGATCCGCATAACGAGAGGTATTATTATTGCAGTAACAATACACTTTAATCGAATAGAAAGGATGGAAAGGATTGAAGTTAATAGCAATAAGACGAAGCTGAAATTGTTAATGAATCCACTGCTTAAATAAATATAGTTTATGTTTAGAAATTATGTTGAAAGATGACGTATTAAACATGTATTTGTTTTAGTTATACGCTTAGTAACAGCTTTCATTTAAAAAATATTATTCTAAAAGAAAGCAAATTTAAGCGGCTTATTAATTATTCTGATTTCTTAGGGAAAATTTTCTACATCAGCATATAGCTACATTGAATATAACAGAATTACATATTAGTTAATTAGAATATTTGCATTTGTTTTAATAGTCACATTTCAGTCGTTATGGGCTTAACTCCATAAACGGTAAAACAAAATTAAACTTACGTATTAAAGACAGTCTAATTTATTTTAGGAAGCAATCAAATAATAATATAGTTACTAAATAATAATGGAACAAATTAAGTGTCTGACGTTAAGTCTACAGTAGATGATCTATTGTATAATTTAAAGAAGATTAGATTAGTTTGAGAAGAAGGTATTACTGGAGTACTGAATTAAAATTTCTATCTGACTTGATAAATTCAAAATTGAAAGTTAGTTACAATAAATAAAATGGGTAATTTTAATTTGTTTTAGGATTGTAATCATATAAATTGTTGAAATAAGACCAATGAATGGAAGCAGTCATTTCACTATCCTTGTCATCAACAAAAATCTTATATAATTCTAATTAAATATTACTTTCATTCTGAATGTTAGATATTATTTCCATGTTTCCCTTCATTCTTCACTTCTTTTTCAAGACAAAAGTCAGGATTGAGTTATGGTTAATCGGGATTATTCACTTTTTCTACTCTTGATAAACTATGAAATGCATTTTCATATTTTCTTTTGCCCCTTTTTAGGATAGAAGTTAGGGTATACCGAGAGTTATACACACGGAGGATGATTAAATTTACATATGCTAACTATCTCTCGACATACTTTAAAAATTATTAATTAATTAAATTACATTTTAAATATCTTTAGGACTGCATCTTAAAAATGCGTAATAGTCTAATATCGTTATAGTTCCTGCCCATTACTGTAGTACTTTTTCTCTTTGCCGATCGATTTACTTTTATTAAATCTGATACTGTTGGCAACTTTACTCTCTTGGAAGAAATAGCAAATACGCGTATTAAGCTAATACAGAAGAGAAATTAGCATCCTTGAAGTATAATAAAAAGCTCGGAAGATTCGATATATTTTACCATTACTTTCATTGCGTTATCGATTTTTATTCTTTCCATCTTTCTAGTCACTACACGAAAATAACTTAGTAATAGCTCTAACTTTAATATTGGACCAGTCGATTTGTATACGCTTTTACAGACCTCTATACTAACGATGGATTTTACCTTGATATTGTTAAAGTAGACAATAAACAGGTAATATCTAACTAATGTAGCAGAAAGTCAATCCCTTTCAAGTATAGTAAACCTAAAAGATTGATTATTTTACTGTTATTTTCGCTTCTTTATTAACTCTTCTCCTTCTGACCTTACAGACAGTAAATCAGATAGTTTAGACCTAGCTCTAATGAAAAAGGAGCTAAAAATTGTTTCTCCTCAGTTTTGATCATTCCTACAGTTTGTCTTACCTGATCAAATTTATTTTAGTTGCAATATTATTACGCTAAAAATAAATCTCAATTACTGATATAATAGAGGGGGAAAATCAATGTCTATGGCTACAATTAACTGAAAAAATGAATGCTTTCCTTTCTTTGCTGCAATTTTATTCCACTTCTATCTATTCCTTGCTGGAGTAATTACTATTTTAAATATTGTAGCTTATTTTCGTTTAATGCCGCTAATAATGATCAAAGTGGATAGAAAGCAGTGTATTAATAAGTTATTACAGGAAGAGGGCAAGAAATAGCAATTAAAATTCGAATAAATTGAAATAAGCTTAAAAAATTTGAGAATCAACTATGAACTAATTTTGCCTATATTTAGTAAATATATTCATCCTATTTTACTCTAGACGCATCTTGCATTGCAATCGTTAGCAGGTGATTAAAGATTAAATTAGCCATAGTGAATAATTTATTAAACGGAAATTCGATAAGCTTTAAATGTGTTATAGTACATCCTTTTTAAGATTAATTTATTAAAGGAAAAAGTCAATGCAGTGATTTAAATATTTTACAAGACAGAAATCAAATTTTAAAATACCACATCATTTCAGTTTTGAAAGGATCAAGTTCAGTCGACGATGGAAAATACCATAGAAATAACTAAAGAGTAATTTCATCATAGCAAGATGTAAACTTATTTTTCCTGTGAAAGGGTTCTACTATTATCGTTACGATAAGTTTATATTGCTGCACGAGGGTTCGATCAATTTTTAGCTGCCCTTACTCCAGTGCTACGGTAAAATCTAAATTATGGCTACCTGATATGATAGGCAAAATGCTTTGCAAAAGCTATTTTCTATTTATTGGTCCTACACGTATTTTTAATTTGCCTTCTGTAGCCGTCTTTAGTCAGTAAGAACTGACATGATATTTATCCGTCTTATACATAACATAGCTTGATGTTATAGCAAGGGGTCTCATATGAGCAATGCAGGGGATAAATGACTGGACGATATTAAACTTCATCACCGGTATTTTACGCATGGTGAGATGAAATTAATGTGAATTCTTTCAGCAGTTATTTAATTTGCTTCATAATTTACTATAGCACTATTGATTGATTTTTTGTAGAAAAATATGATAACTCCAGCAGTAATCTATCAATCTCCTTTAATGGTTTTTATCGACAGTTTACGGAACTTATTATTTAGCAATGCTACTAGCACGCTCAACAGGGTTGTACAAATTTCATTTTGCGTAGAAGATTCTTTTCCTGATTTTAATTCCTTAATACTTATATTGAGGATATGATAACCGTAGAGAAATAGTACAATATCAATAATCTAATAAGCAACTTTTGATCATTTTAGAAATTTTGGTAAGATACTCAGAATATGCAAAAAACTCTAAAGAATTATACTGCAAATGAAAATAGATCGCTTATAGTTATGCATCGATTAACTATTAAGATAGGATACTGTTGATCTTGGTCTCGCTAATCTAATATTTCTAATAACGATATTTAGTAAGACTCTAGCCTAAGATAGACATGATTTTGCATACTAAAAATATTTCGTTATTGTAACATTAATTGATAAAAATAGTTATTAACGTCAGTACAGAAGGATTATATTAGTACAGAGACCCTATCTTAATTGTGTTAACGTCACTAACCGTATCTAATAAAGTAATCACTAGTGTATAATATGTAATGTGTGGTGCGAATCACTAATGCATAAGATCGTTGTATATAAGCCAAGTTTTTAATTATTATAATCGAATTCTTCAATCTCTGGTCTTGACACTGATCTCTCAACAAATGTAATAAAACAGCCTATTATTATCTAACAACGTTTAGATTACTGTGAATTTTATATGGCAGTTACTTAAATTGATATACAATTATATATGGTAAAAAAACTCATCTTGGTAATTTATACATCCATTAGCTTCTTACATGATGAAAATCTTCATCATATTGAAATCTATTGAACTTGGTCTCTGTAATCTGATATTTGTAATACCGATATTTAGTAAAATACTAGGCTAAGATAGTAAAGATTTTGGTCATTTTGCAATCACTTATGGTAATTAATATAGATAGCAAAATCCAACACTGCTAATCTATCCGTGCGTTAGCTTCTTGCATTCTGAAGATGTTCATCATATTGAAATCTTTTATCTCATTCTGACGAACTCTTGTTATGTTCTTATTTGCTAACAACTCTTCATGAAGGAAATGAGATTACGTAATATAAGGCTGAAGAACAGATGATTCTTGCCTGTAAAATCCATTTCTATATCCGATAATAAAAATTTGTGCCACCCACAAATAACTTCATTTTATCAATATATACGTATCTAATACTTACTGTTAATAATAAGAGGCTAGGATAGCGGGCTAATCATTTTTTGACCTTTCATATTCTACTACTCTTTGTTATTGGAAATTATAACCACCTTTTATCATTAACAAATTCAGTTTTTATCCTACATAGTTTCTTTTCAATTGGCTTTGACCTTAAGATCCCTCGTTTTTATCCAAAATTGTACTATAAATTTTCGATCTATTTATTAGCCGATATCGTTAACAGATGCCTACCACTATGCCACCA